GCCGCCAAAATATGGAAAAACTTAGTGTTTTTATCACCTTTTAATGCCCAATTAACTCTAGATTTCTGAAACCAAACCCAATCCACCATTTTGGTCTTCTTCCAAACTTCCCCTTTTGCTTTCCTTCTTCTAGCAAGTTCTAAAACAGTTAAAGGTCTATCTTCAGCTGTAAGGTCAAGCAAATGCAGTTCTTGTTCCAGAAGCTTGAGTTTAGATTCCACATTTCCAAATACTTCAATATTCCATTGCTTGAGAACTAATTTAAGTGCTTTAAGCTTCCTTAAACACTTGAAACCAGCCCAACCTTGAACAATGGTTTCAGCCCAGGTATTATCCACCAAGGATTTAAATTGAGGGTGTAAGGACCAAGCATTTAGAAATCTAAATGGCTTTGGACCCCAATCCCTATCGTCTTCCATTAAAAGAATAGGGCAGTGATCTGACCACCTCCTAGGTAAGCCCCAAAGCTTGAAATTGAAATTTTGCACCCATTCTAGACTTAACAGAAACCTGTCAATCCTACTCCACCTCTCACCTTCTTGAGAGTTACACCATGTGAATTTTCTTCCCATCATATGCATGTCACAAACTTCCAAGTTGTCAATGAAATCATTAAAATCACGCATACCCCTATCTCTCCTACAGCATCCATTCCTCTCAGAAATATTCCTGATTTTATTAAAATCTCCCCCTAAACACCAAGGTTTATCATACAGAGATTTTAATGTAGTCAAAATATCCCACACCTTCCTTCTATTAGTACTATCATTGGGGGCATAAATATTAACAACAACACAATCCAAATTGTTAAAGAGAATACCTGACAAAATGATGAAATTATGGTTGCAACAACAATCCACAATTTGAAAGGCATCTGGGTTCCAAATGCACAAAAGGCCACCAGCTGCACCAACTGAGTCCACTGCCATGAAGTCCATCCTATCTCCATACCAGCAAGATCTCACAAACTCTGCATCTATTTGTGACCTCTTTGTTTCCTGTAAAAGTGTCATCCCCACCTTTCTTTCAGAGAGTAATTTCTTTATTTTATTCCTTTTAGAAGCTTTACCCAGCCCTCGCACATTCCAAGATAATAACTTCATAAATACCAGATTTTTAAACACCAATACACCAGAGGAGTACTATTCAAACTGCAGCTCCACCATTCTTTAACATTCTTTCCTTGTCTTCTCCTTCCAATTCCACCAACTTGCTTAACACTTCTACCTCATTTCCATCATAATTTAACCCAAGAACCTTCCCAATTTGGAGTGATGCTTCAGCCTCATTAAGCAGTAATTGTCCACTACCAGACTTACTTGCCATTGAAAGTGAAATTGCAGCAACAGCCGACCTGAAAATGGCTCCTTTTTTCAGATTTAGAGAAGCACCTGCCCCCTCGTTCATGCTTCCTTTTTGTTTCCTTTGTACTCTTGCAGCTCCTTTATTTTTCACCTTCACATTCCTTTGCCCTTTCTGAGCTACTGGTATGCTTTTATTCAGGACCACACAGTGGGTTCCTTCCCCAATCCTAATTTGGGCTTCCTTTTCCCTGTTAGTTTGATCAAGATAGTTCAGTTTGGGTATTGTCTCTGGTTCACTAATTTCGGAAAGCCTTTGGCCCAACAAATTACCACATTCCACAGCATGGGCCTCATTAAGAACTACCTCCAGATTTAGCCCAGGCCTATTCATCTCAGACCCAGTAACACTCCTCACAAAGCCAGGAGTAACAATTTCATCCTCCACTCTACTGGTCTCTACATTTTGAATTTGTATAGGGGGCACCACTGGCTCATTTAATGCAGCCCCGCATGCGCCCCCAACTTCTGATATTTCCATGTTCATGTCAGAGTCTTGAACAACAGATACGTTTTCCCAACTACGTAGATCATCCTTGTCATTCTGACCAGCAAACATATAAAATCACACTTTATACGCATAAAATCTAGTACCAGACTTACTTGCCATTGAAAGTGAAATTGCAGCAACAGCCGACCTGAAAATGGCTCCTTTTTTCAGATTTAGAGAAGCACCTGCCCCCTCGTTCATGCTTCCTTTTTGTTTCCTTTGTACTCTTGCAGCTCCTTTATTTTTCACCTTCACATTCCTTTGCCCTTTCTGAGCTATTGGTATGCTTTTATTCAGGACCACACAGTGGGTTCCTTCCCCAATCCTAATTTGGGCTTCCTTTTCCCTGTTAGTTTGATCAAGATAGTTCAATTTGGGTATTGTCTCTGGTTCACTAATTTCGGAAAGCCTTTGGCCCAACAAATTACCACATTCCACAGCATGGGCCTCATTAAGAACTACCTCAAGATTAAGCCCAAGCCTATTCATCTCAGACCGAGTAACACTCCTCACAAAGCCAGGAGTAACAATTTCATCCTCTACTCTACTGGTCTCTACATTTTGAATTTGCATAGGGGGCACCACTGGCTCATTTAATGCAGCCCCGCATGCGCCCCCAACTTCTGATATTTCCATGTTCATGTCAGAGTCTTGAACCACAGATACGTTTTCCCAACTACGTAGATCATCCTTGTCATTCTGACCAGCAAACATATAAAATCACAATTTATACGCATAAAACCTAGTTTCTTTATGGTTAATTTATGTAGTTATAAAAAAGTTTTGATTGGTTACCTGTAAAGTATATCTTATAGTAGTATCCTATAACTATCATTGGTTCCATTTGATGTAACTGTTAAAATAAATTATAGATAATAGTTTAACAAATTATAAATTATGACTTTAATTAGAAATTGTTAATCTGTTTAGTATAATTGTTGGATTATAGATTTAAGTTGTTGAGACTAATAAGCTGTGAAATAATTTTTTCAATTAACTTTTATTTTTTGTTATTCACTATTTGTTTACCTTTCTCATAAAAAATAATAATAATAATCTATAGTCCATTTGAGTCTTTTTCTATTTTTAAAAAAATAAAAAATAACAAAAATTTAAGAGTATAATCGTAAATTAACATGTTCATAGCAGAAGCTGATAATCAGAAGCAATGGGTAAGCAGCTTCTCAGAATCAATTTTTTTGAGTTAAAATAAATTGTTAAAATAAAAAACTATTTGAAATAAATTTAACTAAACAATCCAAAATAACTTTTCAAAACTAAAAACTATAAATTAACTCAAAAAAATCCAAACAAGCAAGATTTAAGTTGTTGAGTAATATTTGTTAAATAAGCTGTGAAATAATTTTTTCAATTAACTTTTATTTTTTGTTATTCACTATTTGTTTACCTTTCTCATAAAAAATAATAATAATAATCTATAGTCCATTTGAGTCTTTTTCTATTTTTAAAAAAATAAAAAAAAAAAAATTTAAGAGTATAATCGTAAATTAACATGTTCATAGCAGAAGCTGATAATCAGAAGCAATGGGTAAGCAGCTTCTCAGAATCAGTTTTTTTGAGTTAAAATAAATTGTTAAAATCAAAAACTATTTGAAATAAATTTAACTAAACAGTCCAAAATAACTTTTCAAAACTAGAAACTATAAATCAACTCAAAAAAATCCAAACAAGCACCTCATCATAGGCCGCTTAAATGTCTTTATAAGACAATTCAATGTATCCTAATGATGTAAATCAGCATTACTCTATCGTAAAATGTGAACATTAATAAACATCCATAAACAGACCACTAGTAGAGCTGCTCTAAAAGCAACCCTACTGAGCTGGCATGCACATAAAAAAACAAAAGAAAAGGAAAAGACAAATTACAACAACAACAACAACAACAACGGGAAAGAAACTACACAGAGGAAAAGAACAAAATAATACTCTTTTAGTGTTCCGCTTTTAATGCTCTTAAATTATTTTTCATAGACATAAGATTTGAGACCAGCCTTTTCAAAACTTAATTCTAATTTTAAGTTATAATTTGAATGACATATGTTAATCAAATGTATTTTTAAAATATAATATAAAATTATTTTTAAAACTTTTTTTATTATATAATTAATTAATTAATTAATCATTTTTTTTTTCTCATCTCTCATCTCTTTTCTCACATTTTATACATTAACCAATCAAAAAAAAAAAAATTAGTCACATTTTTCATAGTGATGCAAATTTTATATTTGCATAATACAAATCTTTTATGTATATCAAAATTACACTAATTTTTTTTTATCTATGATATAAAAAATAAAAAAATAAAAAAATGAGCTAGGTCCTAAGAATTCATAATTTGCTCAGAATGAATGGTAAAGATTAAATTAATAAAATATAAACTCTATAAATAAAATAAATTTAAATCATTAATTTTTATTTTTGAATAAATTATGAATAAATAATTTTAAATTTGTAGTGATAATAGAAATATTTCTTGTTCCAGTGATTTGTAATCTTCCCCAAACTGAATCCTGTGACAGTTCAATCGAGCTCGTCATACGATATCTACTATGTCATTGTTGATATTTGTATAGGTATCACAATCGTTTTTATTTTTTTTTATCACATTCTCTTCTTTCATGTTTTCTATCCTATCAAATGATAAATTATTTTAAAAAATAAGATTCAGATTGCTTGGTTCTATTTTTTCAAAAAGTACTTTTCAAAAAAATTATATATTTTTTATTTTTTTCTAATTTTTTTACTTTTTAGACATACTTAACATAAATACACTTAAAAAATAAAAAAATTGTAAAAATAATTTTTTAAAAATTCACTAAATACCAAAAATATAAAAAAAAAATATACAAGAATTCAGTACATTTTTTAAATTTTTATGTATTTATTAATTGTTTCAAATATATTTTCACAATTTTTTTTTTTACTTTTTAGATACATCTAAGTAAGGTGTATTTAAAAAAATAAAAAAAATGTTTAAAATTTTAAAAATATTCACTAAAAATAAAAAAAAATGTGAAAACCAAAAACTCAATTTTAAAAAAAATTTAATCTAGAAAACTCAAACCAAACCAAACATAGTGATTTTGTTTTCAAACAAACCAAACATTAAAAAAAGAAATTAAAAATTTTATTAAGACAAGAAATCTCATATTAACTAATGAGAGTAAACCATATTACAATCATCCACTCAAAACAAGTCCAACATGCACCAAAACCAACTTATTCATAACAAACCAAACACCACCAAGATCAAAAACTACATAAAAACACAACCCCCCAAACACAGCCAATGAACCGTTTAAGTACACTTCATATTCCAAAACCAGCCACCACCGTCTCCGCCAGAGACCGAGTCACGGCCTCTTTACCAAGCCTGTTGCGAACCGGTCACGTGCTGCTGGCCGAACAGCTCGGCCTTGTCCTTCATTTCGCGAGCCTTATTCGCCAGTTTCATCCTTGCATAGTCCAATTGCTCGGCCCCGGGCGGTTGCTGCCCGGTCACGTACCGGTAAATCCACGACAACACGCTGACTGCCGCCAGACCGAACCCGCCCGAGGCCACAAACCCTAGAATCAAAAGACAGACCGCTATCGCCGCCGGCACCAAAACCGGGCTGAATATGACCAGCAGAGGGGTGGCTAAGGTCAGCGCCACCACTGTTCCGGCGAGGGTCAGGGCGGAGAGGATTAGCAGAGAGCCGCAGGCGGTGGCGGCTGTGGCTGCCTTCGCCACCTCGTGGGACCGTGGCTCGGACGTCGGCTGCTGCTGCTGTGGATAAATCTCAGCCATTGATGAGAACGCAGATGGTGTAAAATGAACTGATATGATATGAAATAATAGAGTAGAGAGTAGTGGAGCTTTGGTGTGTTGGAGATGTGAGTGGGTAATATATAGGTGGAGAGAGCGGTGCCACGTGTTGAGAACTTGTCATGCAAGTGTTGCATGCAATGAAGAGGCTCCGTTTTGAGACACGTTCATTTTTGTCGGATTCGGAGCTGTTGAGGAGAGAGAGAGAGAGAGGGAGGATGGTGAACATCTTTTTTTTTTGGGTCGGATTCGAAGCTTTGAGAAGAGAGAGATACAGGTGCAAAGATCTCTGTTCCAAATAAATTTATCTTTTTGTCTCAATTCATTCATAACTATTAAATTTATCTTTTTATCTCAATTCATTCATAATTATTAAATATATCTTGAAATTTTCACATCTAAGATTCTCATATAATCTAATAATTGTAAGTGAATTGGAATGGAGAGACAAAATTATTTAGGAACAGAGGATCCTTATTCAAGAAAGAGAGGGTAGGGGCAATAGAAAGAGCCGAAGTTAATTGTTCAAGTTTGTTTTCCTAATTTTAATAAGTTTTAAAATTTGTGTAAGTTTAATTGTTAAATTTTTGAATTCATCTTAAATAAGTTTTTGTCGAGTCGAGTTTAAATAATTTAATATTTTTGTATAATTTTAAACTTATCAAATTGAGCTAAACAAGTTATTGATTGTTTAATTTTTGTTTGAAAATTTTAACGAATTTCAAAATGTATTTAAAATTATCTTATTTACTTAACTAATTGAGTTTAAATGAATTCATTTAACCGAAGATGAATCGAACTTGAGCTATTTAGTTCGTTTACCACCTCTAGAGAGTGTGAATCACATAAGCTCGTTTGATTAGAGGAATTTTAATTTTTTTTAATTAATCAGTAATAGCTTTTTGAAATAGTTATTGAACAGTAATTTCTCAAAAAAATTCAATACAATGGTAATTTGTTATCACTAATATGAACCTAATAATCTATACACTTATTGTTGGACAATCTTCACTGTATTTAAAAAGATTAAATTCTTGTTGTTGTTTTGTACACAATAGAATTTAATCTTTCTAAATACAGTGAAGATTGTCCAACACTTATCACATAAGAACGAGTTACTCTTGCTCTAGTAACATGTGGCTCTCTCTTTTGTTCACATTTTGTCATCATATTCTGTTTTTACTATCCTAACTTTATTTGGAAAATTGATTATTTTCGTTAGTTGTTATTTGATTTTGTTAATTATTTTAATTTGGTTGAAAAAATTATGTTCGAAAAGTTGATTTTTTTATTTTTTGATAGTTGATTTGATAGTTGTGATAGAAAAAATAAAATGCTTATACATTGAATGTGATATTTTGTCTTATTAATTATTTTAACTGATTTGGTCTTTTAATGGATTATTTTAGCCCAATTTTCTTCCCAAACACCCCTATGTTTGGACTATTTTATACTCCATCCGTCCCAAAATAATAATTCTTTTTGGGAAATCTAATTTTTTTTTGATAGTATAATTATTGTACTTTAAAAATATTGTTTTTTTAAAATTATCTTTTGATAATATATTTTTTTAATTGTCATAATTGTACTTTTTATGTTTTTAATAAATTTTTAAAAATAACAAAATAAGAATTTTATATTATTTTAATTTTTAATTTTTTTTAAAAATTAATATTTTGAGATAATAAAAAATAAAATTAAAAAATTAATATTTTATGACGGAATGTGTAATTTTGATTTTGTCATATTGCCACGTGAAGTAAAGCTAACCCTCATTATTGTCCACATGGCTACCAACAGCGCACTTCGACGTAGTGAAGAAATTAGAAAATTAAATTAGAATGGTACTTATTAATTATATTATTAAAAAAATTTATAAAAAAAATTATATAAGATTTTATGATTAATTTTGAGAAATATTAAAAAAATAATGTTATTTATAGTTAGTGTATCTATTAGTGGGAGTGGGGTGCAAAATTACTATTGGTATTCACAATGAAAGGTTTAAAACTGAAGCAAACTGAAATTCAATTTACTCAAAATAATTTTGAAAAACAAACAAAAAGAGCACTCTTCCTTTTCTTTCTCCCAGATACTGAATTCTCAAAACACATAACTATATATAGATAAAACTAACAATGTGAACGCATTAAATGCAACTACGACTAGCAGTGTTAATGCAACTACGGCCATCTTGATTTCAGTCTCCATTTTTGACAAATAATTTTTATATCAAGATTACTTCACAACATCCCCCCTTAATCTTGATTCTCAATGTGGCTTCATCCCGAGCATTATCTTCATTCTGTTGAACATATTATTTTTCAATGGCTCTATATATAGATAAAACTAACAATGTGAACGCATTAAATGCAACTACGACTAGCAGTGTTAATGCAACTACGGCCATCTTGATTTCAGTCTCCATTTTTGACAAATAATTTTTTTATCAAGATTACTTCACAACATCCCCCTTAATCTTGATTCTCAATGCGGCTTCATCCCGAGCATTATCTTCATTCTGTTAAACATATTATTTTTCAATGGCTTTGTGAAAATATCTGCAAGCTGATCTTGAGATTTGCAAGGAAATAATTTCACCTCTTTATTTTTCGCATGCTCTCGGATGAAATGATAGCGGGTGTCAATATGCTTACTTCTTTCATGATAAACTGGGTTCTTTGTCAATGAAATTGCTGAGCGATTATCAACATAGATTTCAGTGGGTTTTTCTTATGGAAATCCCAAATGCTTCAGCATGTTCCGTAACCATATTGCATAGCACACAGCTAAGTTGGCTGCAACATACTCAGCTTCACAAGTCGATAATATCACAATGGCTTGCTTCTTGGACGGCCACGTGAAGGCTGTATCTCTTATAAAGAAAGTAAATCTCATAATACTTTTTTCGTTCATCTAAGTCACGTCCCCAGTCGCTATCTGAGTAGCCAACAAGACTGAAATTATCCGTTGGTTTATATAATAAACCATCATCGACTGTACCTTTGATGTAACGAAGAATCCTCTTTGCTGTATAAAATTGTGACTGATCCGGTATTTCCATATATCAGCTGATCAGTCCTACTCCATAGAGTATGTCTGGCCTGGTGCAAGTAAGATAGCGAAGACTTCCAACTAGGCTCTTGAAATAAGTTGAATCCACATCATCTGCCTTTGTACCTTTTTTTAGCTCAACTCCACTGTCTACAGGAGTGTTCACTAGATTGCAATTTTCCATTCCATATCTTTTGAGAATTTGCTTGGCATAGCCATTTTGGGAAATAAAAATTCCATCTTTTCTTTGTGCCACTTCAATGTCGAGAAAATGAGCCAGCAATCCAATATCTGTCATTTCAAAGTCTTGGACCATGCTTCTTTTAAAGTCTTTGAACATGGCTGGATTGTTTCTAGTGAAAATTAGATCATCAACATTAAGACAAGCAAGCAACATGCTTCCATCAGCTTCCTTCTTCAAATATAGTGCGTGCTCATATGGACATTTTTCAAAACCATTGTCATGAAAATACCGATCAATTCTAATATTCCATGCATGCAGAGTTTGCTTTAATCCATAAATTGTTTTCTTCAATTTGTACACTTTGTCTTCATGCCCATTCTGAACATACCCCAATGCTTCAGCATGTTCCGTAACCATATTGCATAGCACACAGCTAAGTTGGCTGCAACATACTCAGCTTCACAAGTCGATAATATCACATATGGCTTGCTTCTTGGACGGCCATGTGAAGGCTGTATCTCTTATAAAGAAGTAAATCTCATAATACTATTTTTCGTTCATCTAAGTCAGTCCCCAGTCGCTATCTGAGTATGCCAACAAGACTGAAATTATCCGTTGTGTTTATTATAATAAACCATCATCGACTGTACCTTTGATGTAACGAAGAATCTCTTTGTTGTATAAAATTGTGACTGATCGGTATTTCCATATATCAGTTTGATCAGTCTTACTCCATAGAGTATGTCTGGCCTGGTGCAAGTAAGATATCGAAGACTTCCAACTAGGCTCTTGAAATAAGTTGGATCCCTCTCATCTTCGTACCTTTTTTTAACTCAACTCCCCTGTCTACAGGAGTGTTCACTAGATTGCAATTTTCCATTCATATCTTTTGAGAATTTGCTTGGCATAGCCATTTTTGGAAATAAAAATTCCATCTTTTCTTTGTGCCACTTCAATGTCGAGAAATGAGCAAGCAATCAATATCTGTCATTTCAAAG